AGAGAGAGAGAGAGAGAGAGAGATAGATAGAGAGACAGAGACAGAGTTACAGATTACAGAGTTAGAGATAGATACAGAGATAAAATATACTGTACATAAGTATAGAGAGACAGATTATATAGAGATGATAGACAATAATATACCTATCATCTATATAGGTAATAGATAGATGGAAAGATTTATAAAAATATATTGATAGATGATAGCTACAGAGATAAATAATGATAGATGGATAGATGAGAGCTATAGAGATAAATGATAGATGGATAGATCATGCAGTAAATATGGACATGATGACAGATGGCTTGATGATGGCTAAGAGAGAGAAGATTAGGAGAGGCTTTGATGGGACAATTGGTACCTGTGGTTAGGTTGTCTTTTCGGTTCAGGTGATTCAACTGTAGAGTTAGAACTCATCCCTTAAATTTATCCAGTCCATTGTTTTTGCCATTGCAAAATAAATCAATTCTTTGTAGCCAACTCTTCTTAACGTCTGTTTTAAAAGAGCTCATGTAAAGTCTAATACTTTCACTGCTGAACAGTTGATACTTTAAAATTTTCTCCTTGTATTTCATCACAATTTCCTTCCTAATTTGAGTCCTTTATCCTGGGCCCTCCTTTTCAGAGGGACATCCCAATGCATTAGTCAGACATGTGCTTATAAACCCACTGGTAAGAACAGTGTTGGGACGCGGTGGCTCAGTGGCTAAGATGCTGAGCTTGTCGATCAGAAAGGTCAGCAGTTTGGTAGTTTGAGTCCCTAGCGCTGCATAATGGGGTGAGTTCCCATTACTTGTCCCAGCTTCTGCCAACCTAGCAGTTTGAAAGCACGTAACAATGCAAGTAGAAAAATAGGGACCACTTTGGTGGGAAGGTAACAGCGTTCTGTCAGCCTTCGGCATTTAGTCATGCTGGCCACATGACCACAGAGACGTCTTTGGATAGCGCTGGCTCTTCGGCTTTGAAACAGAGATGAGCACCGCCCACTAGAGTCAGGAATGACTAGCACAGATGTGCGAGGGGAACCTTTATCTTTTTAAGAACAGTGTAAAAGAGAATCGTTTACCCAGTAGCCACCAATCAATTATTCTGTATTTGTTTCACAGTTTCTATAACTTGCCTCAGTTTGTACACTCTAGATCCGTGATGGCAAACCTATGGCACACGTACTAGAGGGGGCACTCAGGGCCCTCTCTGTGGGCACATGCGCCATCACCAGCTGCTCTTCTGGATTATATTTGCACAATATTGGAAAGATGAAGAAACACTGCAAGATGAAGAGATCATTAAGAAGATACAAGACTAGTGATGGCACCTGTGCTGGAGATCCAGAAACTCTTATGGCCAACTGGCATACGCGCACTAGAAACCAGTAAATCAGGTGGTCAGTGCGGCATGCGCACCAGCCAGCTGGACTTAAGAGTTTTCAGGGCTCATGTATGTGCACACTTTTCACTTTGGACACTCGTTGCCAAAAAGGTTCCCCATCACTGCTCTAGATCAGTGGTCTCCAACCTTGGCAACTTTAAGACCTGTGGACTTCAACTCCCAGAGTTCCTCAGCCAGCAAAGCTTTGCTGGCTGAGGAACTCTGGGAGTTGAAGTCCACAGGTCTTAAAGTTGCCAAGGTTGGAGACCACTGGGCTAGATGATGTCCAGGAGAGTAAAAAAAAAAAATCAAATAAAAATAGATGCAATTAATTACAATACAATAATACAATACAATAGCAGAGTTGGAAGGGACCTTGGAGGTCTTCTAGTCCAACCCCCTGCCTAGGCAGGAAACTCTATACCGTTTCAGACAGATGGCTCTCCAACATCTTCTGAAAGTCTTCCAGTGTTGGGGCATAATTGAAGGGCTAATCAGGTGTAATCAACAACATTCAATCCTGGTTGCAAATACAGTGGATTTTAGCAGCTTTACAAAATGCTAGGTGGGAAGGGTATGCCATAAACCTATGGAAAACACCTCTGGATGATTTGCGTGTGTAAAGTACTTTTAAAAAAAAAATCTCATGTACTGTTCAGCTGCCAGTCCAGATGGCAGGCTTCCCGAAGCATCTTTTATGATGAATAATGGATTTTGCTGCCCATAAACTCGAACTACAACTTTCGAACCATGTTAAGAAATGCTATCACACCTTGTATATCATTTCTAGTATGTCTAGTTGAATGAAAAGAAGGACTAGGGGAGACACGATAGCCATGTTCCAATATCTCAGGGGTTGCCACAAAGAAGTGGGAGTCAAACTTATTCTCCAAAGCACCTGAAGGCAGGACAAGAAGCAATGGGTGGAAACTAATCAAGGAGAGAAGCAACTTAGAACTGAGAAAAAATTTCCTGACAGAACAATTAATCAGTGGAACAGCTTGCCTCCAGAGGTTGTGAATGCTCCAACACTGGAAGTTTTTAAGAAGATGTTGGATAGCCATTTGTCTGAAGTTGTGTAGGGTTTCCTCCCTAGGCAGGGGGTTGGACTAGAAAAGGTAGAGGCAGGTATTTCTCTCTCTTTGGGCATACTTGAGAATGTATCTACTGAACAAAACTCCACATTGGCGACAGGGAAGGGCATCCGGCCATTAAAACACTCTGCTAGTCCATTCAGTTGCCCAGACTCCACCCCACGAGGGATGATGGGGTCGTTAAAATGGAATGGAAAACTGCTGGTCAGTGGAGAAAAATCTGGCCTACCAAATCTACGTACCTGGGCTGCTCAGATTCAGAGACCAGGTGTCTGTTTACTCAACTATGGTATTCCGTAGATGACATTATTAGCCAGCCTTTCTTAACTGGCTGTCTTCCTTATGCGTAGTTTTTAATTCCCAGAATTCCCCAACCAGCATGATTAAGTTTTGAGATTTCTAAAACACAAAGTCCACATATCTAATAGTACCTGTAGCCTTTGACCTTGCAACCATTCATTTAGCAATTGCTTGAAGTTAGAATGGCACTGAAAAAAAAGTGATTTGCGTCTGATCCTCGCACTTACAACCTATCCTGCAATCAGGTGATCAAAATTTGGGTACTCGGCAGGGTCACTTGATCCGCAACTTTCCCAATCAGTTTCTAACAAGCAATCTCCATTGGCAGAAGCCAAATTGGCTTGCCAGGGCATCACTTACTTAACAACTGCAATGATTCGCTTAACAACTGTGGCAAAAATAAAATCAGGCATGGCTCATTTAACATCCACTTTGCTTGCCAATGGAAATTCTAGTTACAACTGTGGTGCTGAGTCAGAGGTCAGAAACCCGTGTATAAGACGCACCAAGGTTTTGAAGAGGCAAATTAAAAAAAAAAAAAGTTTTGGCACTCTGCAAACCTCCCAAAAATGGCCCGTTTTTCGTGAAAGCCCCTTTAGGAGGCTTGTAGCGTGTCCTTGGGGGAGGGCAAAAACAAGCAAAAAAAGGGGCATTAGGAAACATAGAGTGTTCCTGGGGTCGGAGCGGGGGACAAAATTGCCTTCTCCAG